TAACAAAAAGTATAGCCTTGCCCTACCTTGAACAGTTGCTGTCTATGGTCCAGGAAATTTTGTAAAATCAAGGGCCTGCTAAATAATACTGCAGGAGGAAAAACTTAGGACTGTCATGCTTATCCAAGTCCTAACGAAACTAATGGTAGTTACACCATGCAGTCAAGGAAACACATCCTCACCTGCACACCAGCAACTCTACCCCTTTGCACGCAGCATTGCCACTTATACTCAGGTAAAACAGAAGTAAAACCTGCACAGTGTGATTCCTTGATTAGATTCATCAATCTCCCGGTGCACACTGTCTAGCAACTGCACGATCTGCTCCACTAATACAGAAAACAACAGATGACAATTCTTAAAACGAGCTTAGCTTACCAATATCTGATCCTTAGTGATCCAATCAGTCTGTAATTCAGTGAAAGGCACTCTGGCAGTGAAAGTAACTGAATACAAACTAATCAATATTAAAAGCTTTGTAATGGCATTAGCTGTCTACCAGCGTTTTACCAACTATTATCAACAGTTACCAACTTTTGTGCTGTAGAGGCTTGAATTAACCTTAAGGTACAATCAGGAGAAAATCATGCAAATAAGCTGGTTTTTGGTAAAATTCACTCACTTTTTTAAAACGCTCAAAATACTAAATATTTGTCAGTCTCTGGGCAAGCAGTTGAGCTTACTAGCTACACCAATAACAGTGGCTTAAGAAGAGATAAGAGATAAGACAAGAGAGCAGTAAAGAAGGGAATTAGGAGAAGCAGCCACAAAGAAAATTCGGACTGTGCTGTCTATTCATCTCAGTATTTTCCTGCAGTGCACCTCTCTGCACCCTTGCTAAAGACAAGCCAATATAGAATCACAGAATCCTTAGAGTTAGAAGGGACCTTTAATGGCCATCTAGCCCAAATCCCCTGCAGTGAAGAGGGACACCTGCAGCTTGATCAGGTTACTCACAGTGTGGTCCAGCCTGGTCAACCTGTCAACTACAGGTACGAAGCTTCCACCACATCTCTGAGCAACCTGTTCCAGTGTATCATCACTCTCACTATGAAAGACTTTTTCCTTACATCCAACCTAAATCTACCCCCTTTAAGCCTGAAACCATTTCCCCTTATTCTATCACCACAGATCCTCCTAAAGAATCTGTTCCCCTCTTTCCTGTATCTCCCTTTTAAATACTAAAAGGATCTAATATAAAATCAGACTGCTCTCTGGTCCTCTGTCCTCCAGGAACAAGCTATAAGCCAAGAGGAAACGTGTTTTCCAGCAGAGAAGTTTGTGCATTCACAGAAATAAAGTCCCAGCAGTCCTGCTTGCAGCACTTACTGTATATGCAATTAATAAATATCCAGACTCGAAACATCAGGCAGAGGAGAAATGTGGATTTGACTAACTCAGCCAGCTGTCTGGGATTATCAACCAGATATATTTGTAACTATGAAAGCTAATGAAAAGGTAATCAGATCTCACAGCAAGTCATTGCATTTGGGAGTGAAGAAAGGTTTAACAATCCCATCTCACCCATTCCTCTCCCACCAGCTCTGGCTTCCACAATGATTTGAAGGCATCACTGAAGTTACATATGTCCTCTCTGGGCAACACCCGAATATATGTTCAATGCAAGGAAATTTACTTAAACATCTCCAAGGAGACTAGAACAAAAGCCAATCTTGCCTCACATCCTCTCCACCACACCAATATCTCTTGTCAGAGAGAGAAACAGTAACTGAATGATTAAGGAATGATAATGACTGCTGGTAGGTGCACTGCTCGGCTCTGATTCCTCTTGGCTTCTGCATAAATTTAAAAAAAAAAAACCAACAAAAAAAAACCATTGGTTATTTAGAGAGGCAGGACTGGCCTGTTAGTGTCAGTACAGGACTCTGTCAAGACACTCTAGAGTTGTCATCTTTCTCCAGGAAGTTTAGACCCTTCACTGTAATAACCTGAAATGAAGTAAGAAAAGATCTTGCCCATCAGGCCATGAGCTGCTCCCACAATCCTGTATGTCAGAAGTCTCTTAGGTGAAAAACAACAACCCAACAGCCTCTAGTGAGCACCTACCTCTGGAGACCTGGGGGCACTGAAGTTTTCGTGTCTTACACTAACTCCCCTGTAGCAAATAAGCAAGAGCTATGAATCTACGAACAGATTGGGAAGAAATTAAGGAAAAAATTTGAAACACACTGTCCCTTCCAGCATCTCTGCCTCATCAACTCTCCATCTGTTTCCAAAAGTTCAACAGAAAAAAATAAAACTGTTTTCCTGCTTTCTACAAACTCATTCTCACTGTTCTGGTTTATGTGCAGTACTACACTGTTTCAACCTATTTTATAGTCCACAATGGGCAGGTGGTGTGACCAGCTGGAGCCAAAACAATGTTTTGTGCAACACCTTCCTCTAGGAGTCACCCTGCTCTGTCTCCAGGCAAAGGAGTGAAAGGACTAGATGCACCTTACAGCAGCCCATCTGGGTAACCTTCACCTTTCACTTGAAGCAGTGAATTAGAGAACTGGGAGGACAGCAACTACTGACCCACAAGCCCTGGGAAACACAGCCGCTAGTGAGCACAGGAATCTTTAGTAATCTCTGCAATACTTCTCTGCATGCAGTATGGGTAATTTTTCTCCTTTTAGAGAGAAACAAATGGATCAGCTAGACAGCCTTGGATTCAGTAGCATTTTCCATACCTAGGTCCTCCACTAAGAAAGCAAAAGATATAGTCAGGATTTCCTCACTGTTCCCTTAGACTTACTTTGCTTCCTGTTGGCCTGGCTAGATAAGTACTTTCATGCAGCTGTGCTGAGGTAGAGATCTCTCACCCAGTAGCATCCAACACCCTCATAAACTATTCACATCATTTATATATGTACTTTTTCCTCTTTCTGCCTTTGGTCCAACTCATCAGGGCTGCAATTGTGTCTCAGCCAGCTGTCTAAGCTAAAGGTCTCAACTGAACAGTTGATCTGCATAGTACATAGCAGTTAAAAAACAACATGGTGTCCTAATTAGATCCTAAAAAACAAACACAACGTAGCATGGTGTACAAGTACTTCTCTTCATTCCCATAAGCTTCTGGCAAAAGGAAGACTCAGACTACAAAAAAGCAAGTATTTTCTCTCGTGTAAAAGTATAAGAAAAAAAGCTATTAAAAGCTCCATGTAACCAGGAACTGAGGTTAGAGTAAACCATCCTCCTCCAAATCTCTATGTGGACTAACCAAGTATAAGTACTGAATGCTGTTGTGCTCATTGAAGCACAGGTGTGCTATGCCTTAAATATCACTTAATGGCCATAGGACTGAGCATAGAGGGAAGCTCTGTGGCTCTCCGGGATATCTGTGACAATCCAGGCTTCTTAGAGATGCTATTTTCCAGACAAATGCCTGACAGCATAGTGCATATTTCCACCTGGAGGAAAACTCAGTACGGAGTTCCCTTCTCTTAAAGCAAAAACATAAAGGGGAGACAGCCCTTTGGCAGCCAAAGGACAGGATCAAATTCAGATTTGGTGTAAAATGGCTCAGCTCTACAAGAATAACATATATTCTTGTTGCAAGTAATTGTGTCAGTTCAACAGCAGGGTGCTGCAATTTTGCTTTGAGGCAGTAGGAGGAAAATTACAGAAAACTCAGTTTGATACATTCTAAAAGGTTCTCTAGCTTTCTTTTCAATAGCACAGGCTTTCATCCCTCAGAGAGCACTAGGTCTTAGAAGAAATAGCACAGTCAGGCTGACAACAGCCTCTGCATGTTCAGTAGAGGCTTATGCAAACTCCTTTCCTCCCCTGTAACTGGAGGGGCTCTGTATCACTGAAGGAAAGAGACAGTACAGCGTTATGTGGGAAGGAATTGAGATGTCATACAGAGCTGAAATTTGAGATGCCTGCAGCACCCATGTAGACAAAAAGAGAAGGACAGAGACAGAAGAGACTGCCCTCCAATGCTCTTAGTCTTTTTAGAAAAGAAAAAAAAGAAAAAGAAAAAGAAAACAGCCTCAAATAATTGTATTTGCCACTTCTTGGATACAAGAGATTCTGCCTTCTGAAACTGCTGCTTTGACCTTTGCCTTTCTGACCACAAACAGGATCGATATCAGAATAACTAAGGGGAAATAACTAAGTGGAATGAGACCAATGGTCTTATGCTTGACATGTGAGCCTCAACCTTAACTGCATCTGGAACTTCTACTTCAATACAGAGCTTTCAAAGACTGAGTTGCTTTAGCCTTGAGCAAATAAAAAATTCAAAACCGTATCTCAGCACTGTCAAGCCTCAACCAATCCTGCATATTATCTTCGAGAAAATAGTAATCCAACTATCTCTTCTAAGAAAAGCAAGATCATCTTCACCGGTATTTGTAGCTGTCCTGTCGCTAATAACCCCAAATCTAGCCCAGTAGCCCCTGGGGGACCTCATCTTATGTCACCAACACAATAATTTGTCCTGATCCCTGATCCCAGCCCAACAGCTTATGTCTGCTCCAAATCAACACAAAGCCGTGTTATGAATCTTGATATTCTCTTAAGCCTAGCCCAGTGTCTTACAGATGAAGCAATTAATCCAGCCCAATGTTGCCATAACCCAAAGCTACTCTCTAATTCAATGCATGGTAGCCATGACCAAGTCTAAAGCTTGTACATATGCACTGCTACTAAATTTAGATTAATAACCCATTCAAGGCCAATTACTAAACTCTGGACCTTACCCTAAGCCCTAACTCTCAATGCAGTTCCAAAATTTAACTTGTAACCATGTGTTCCTGACATAGACTAAGGCACAAAGTACTTACTGGTATCAACATCAAAACCAACAGCAAAGGACATCACAAATGCAGACAGGAAATGAGAAAGGTATCCAAAGATTTAAAAAAAAAAAAAAAATTAAAATATTTTTGCCCCAGCAAGGATCAAATGCATCCATGAGTTACCACAAAGTAGCACTCGGAGCTCGATGCTTTTCCAAGCACTAGATATTTTGACTGTGACAAGATCCTTCCCCTCCTGCAGGTTGCTCACCGCAGTCAGCTGAACTCTTCAGGCGCAGCTGAAAAGTGCAAGATCCTCTGCCAGTGACTTCCACTCCTGCTTTTCTTCACATACAACTGTTCTGTCACAGCACATACCTACAAAAGGCAAATGGGGAGAAAACACTTTTAGTGCCACTGGTCCTGCTGTCCAATATATCTACAGAGAGATCTGTCCCAAAGCCATCAGCTGTTCACAGAAGTACTGTTACATATAGAAGAACTAATTCCCTTTGCTTACCATGCGGGAAACAGAGTTAGTACAAACATCAGGCTGTGCAGATCCACATCAAAGCATCCCCTGTGTAAGAGCCAATCCTTAGGGTTGTCTCCAGTGAAGGCTGAAGCACATCCGTTTTCATGCCTTTCTGCTAGAGATCCCCCCAAGCAGCAAGGACAGCTGAATAGCACAAATACTCACGCCTCCTCCCAACCTACAGCCTGTTTGCTAATGTAAATCGCTGCTGATTTCAGCTTAATTTAAAATACTGGTTTGCAAAGTGCAGAGAAATAAGTGAACGCACATCTTATTCAGCTATCGCTAATGCATGAATAGACTTGTCTGACACAAAGCCTAGTCTGGGAGCTAAGAGTAGTAACCATCACATGATGGGAACTCCCCACTGCCAGGAGTTCCCCTAAGAAATATATCAGTTTCTCTTTGGACAAATTCTTTGGTTAGAATACGCAGCTAGACAGCCACAGAGGCTGAATTTGCAAAGTGTTGCAAATTCTGTGCAAACTCTGAGTGTTGATGGTTACTAAGTGTGACTATTTAACTCCAGTCCAGTATTAAATCTAAATAGTTATATTTGACATTGATTCAATAGACGGCTTTACTGTTTTACCCAATAACACAGCATCCTGGCTTTAGCAAGCCATCTTTTCATGTCAGAGAATAAGGTAAGTATTGATACCACTCAAATTTAATCATGTCGTTTGTCAGGCTTAACTAGATGTCATTTGATGGGCTGAATTAGTCAGATAGCTTTCCTAGGCTTCTTCTGCACTGAGTGGAAGTGTGGATTCTCTAGAGGGCAATCTGCCCTCCTGGCATTTGCCTGTATGTAGTAACATCAGAAAGACCCTGAGGAGATCAGCGGTTCAAGTTACACACCTACACTGGATGACTAACAAACCCCAACTGTGCTTTATTCGGGCTCTGAGAGGAATGAGGTTACCTCTTCTGACAAGCAATGTCAGTCCAGAACCTCCAAGGGTGCAGTACAACACCAGTGGGGCAGCCAATGTGTCTCAGAGGTTGGATGTGCTGAGGAAGTACAGGTTGTAAACATGGCATGGCGGAAAGGTGATGATCAGGGGTAAAACTCTCAGACAACATCAGAGACCTTGCCTGTGAGCCATCTCAGAACATGCCCACAGACCACCTGTAATAGCAGATTCCTTTCTGTTTTTTAAAGCCTCAAGTTTTCTTTCAGAACTCATTGATGTCATGAACAATGAGCTTAAATGAACCAGTACGGATTTTTAATAGAAGTGAAATAGTCCTTGGAAGACACAAGATGAAAAAAATCAGTTTTCTGTCTACTATAGTCTAGTAGTTTCCTCATCTCCAACAGTTAGAAATGAATAGATGGAAGCACACAAATAGCCTTGTATGTTAGACAGTACACTTGAAAGGATCATTTGCCAGTTATGGGAAGACAAATCTTATAGCAGGTTGTCTGCAGCATGTGTCAAGATGACGTTAAGATTCCAATTGCAGGCCAAGCCCTGGTTTTGCAGCTGGACAAGAAGCTGACATGTTGGCATTATCCATGGTTTGTTTGCTCTCCCAACCTTCAAGCAAAAGGCTGAAGCTGGCCACAGCCACAGCTACCAAAAGCACCTCAAAGAAGAAAACATGTTGCTCATCGCAAGGACTAACAGCTAGGCTGAAAGGGGAAGGATAGAACAAATGGATGCAAGGAGCCCTGGTGGTGACCTTGCTCTGGAGAAGGTTCTCATCTGGCCCCTGGCCAGGGAGCACAGAAGGATGTGGGAAAACATGCAGACCATGGCTGGCTGTGTTCCTATCCAGAAGAGAAGCTAATCATTCAACCTTTCCTCTTAGAAATACATCCCTGAAGAACCATAGGAAATTACTTTTGGTAAAAAGCAATGCAGGAGTAACAAAAGGATTCAGCTTTAACAAACTTTACACCCACTACTGTTAGTGACAGAACTTCCCTTCCTGCCAGTGGCTAAGGAATCTGATAGTGCCAGAGATGAAGAATATTGCTGAAAAGGTTTTCAACATTTAAATTCTTATTTTATTAGCCTTCAGCTGTGTTCTTGTTTTATCTGCTGTTACAGCTTGATTTCCATTGTAACAGAAAATCCACTTGAAGGAGTTAGTAGGATGACAATTGGACTAAATGATTCTAGCAGTCTTTTTCAACCTTAATGCTTCTATGATTATAAGATGCTCTTCAGGAAGACATTCCACCAAGTAGTGCAGAAAGAACCTGGGCATATCCTGCACAACTGGGCAGCTTGCCAGGCCTGTGCTCAGCTGGCCACAATTAGCAGCATATGGGAGCAGATAACCTGTGCTCCTGCTCCAGCACTTATTTCTTAACAGCATCTGTTCAGAGTGAGTGTTGAAATTGAGCAAACTGAGGAAAAACTATAAATAAAAAATAAAAATAAATAAAATTCCAACACCAATGGTAAGGTGTAAACATTCCTTGAGCTTCCCAAAATTCAGATTCTCTGTCCAATAAGGCATTGTTGCACATGACAAGCTGTGGTTTGCATTGCTTTGATGCATCAAGTCTCAACCTCAGTCTGTCCAGGCACCTAGATCTGATTAAGGAGCATTTTAGAGTGCCAGGGGAAGGGAATATTAGGAACAAGGTGGGAATTACAAAAATCACAAGGTCCACATTTTTCCTGGTGTTTATTAAGGCTGAGTGTTTCCTGGTGTTTCTCTTTATTCTGAATGCTGATACAATGCCTGACAACATCACAGTAGCACACTACAACAAGGTACCCAGCTCCTTTTCCCTTTCTCATATCAACAACCAGTAACCTGGCACTTCTTTAAAAGACTGGACACAGGCCATGTTCACTCAAACCACATCCCAGTGGAGAAAGCAACACTGCCAAAAGCAAAAAGGAGAGGCAGAAAACAGGAAAAAACTTTTTCTCACAGACAGTGGCCAAACATGATCGAGCAAGACAAGTCTATGTGTACACCTGAGAGCACAGGCAATGCCTAATGCAGGCATAGACACCTGCTCAGTACACTGCAGTTTGTGCATTGATTTTTGACACTTCACAGTGCAATTCCACCCAATGATCCAGCAGACAGCACAGCTCCTGTGCCCCCATTGGCAGCAGTGGAAAACTGTGCGAGTCCCACCTGAAGGTGGTGGGACAGCAGCAGAGCCTCACAGCCTCCAGCTCTAGAATTGGAGGTGCCACGCAAAAGAAACACAGGAGTTTCACATTGTTTTCGAGATAAAAAGAGAAAGGAGCTGACCTGCTTGACTTCATCACGTTGTTTGTACAGGACCCTGTGCTTTGTGCACTGAGCTGCAAAATTAAAGCAAGTGCAATGACAATGAAATCATAATCAAATACATCAGTGTGGGGCCAGCTTTGGTGTGGAAAAGCAAAAGGTTGGGAAGAAAAAACAAAAACTCTAAACAATACTCAGATCTGAAGGTCAGTTCTGCAGCCATTTAGAAAAAGAGCCACTTTAAATTGTTAAGATTAGCAGGATAACAATATTATTATTTTGCTGCTGTCCATGTAAGAACGGGGAGTCCATTTTTCAAGGAATCTAAACGGAAAAGATGAATGAAAGAGGAACGGGTAGAGATGAGGAGTGACTTGACCTTGGATCACATAACACCAGGATCAGGGCCAGGAAGAAACCATGGTTCCACTCCTGGCACAATGCTCTTTTCACTAGTCCGTACTTCTTCTAAGTCTGGAAGCAGACACTTATATTTATCTAGAGGGACTGAGGGTGTTGCCATTGCAAACTGTCGGTCACCATCCCATCAGCTGGAGGCTATCAGTGTATTTCAGCACACTGTGCAAATGGGAAAGCTGTGAGCAAATCCAGCAAGAAGCATGAGCAGGTGGGGAACATGAGAGCAATGTCTTGAACAACAGCAACTGCTTCTTATCCTTGGTCTGAGATATGGCAATATTCCTGAGTCCTGGAAGTCATAAGACTAGTGGTTCAGATAAGAAAAGCTATCAATTAATCTTATGAAAATGTCTTATCTGAACCATTCCATCCTGACCATTCTATTTCAGTATCACACACAACACCACCATCCTCAGCCAGAGCAGCAAAGATGAGATTCTGAAAACCCTTTAGCTCATTACAATTAATAACAATATTGTGAATCAGTCTGTTATTGATAATAGTAACATTGCAGATGGCTTAACTTTTTGATCGTTTACTAGATTTTAACAAACTATTCATATGTGATGTATATGGACTGCTTATGGACAGATGGCCAGTGTTCAGTTTGTGTCCATGGAGTGAACAGCTCATAAAAACTGCTTTGGGACAGTGAGAAGAGGGATCAGTGATACTACTAAGAGCCTGCATGCAAGTCCAAACCCTGTAAAAATATACCACTGAAATCAACAAGAGAGGAACAAACGCATTCCCAACTTGATCTCATTCTAAAAAGCTGTCTTAGCTCTTCTGCATTATAAGACTGAATTCCTCTAACGGATGACTCTTTCATCTTAGTGAGTTTACTTAAACCACTGGCTTTGCTCACCCACTGCTCAACAAACATGACCTATATTGTATGTGATCTCCAAACAGAAATTCCTTACACGGGCTACTCAGGATTCAACTGTATTGAAAAAACATAGCACATAACACATGAGCTCAAGTCTTCTGAAAAGAAGCTCCTCTTGGCTGCTGCTGTAATTCCTCTTCCAGGTTTGGTGAGTCCAATGTCTGACAGCTTGCTTTTGCCTGCCTAAAGAAGCCAGCAACATCTACCTTCAGCTCTTCCCCAACAGTGTGGTCAGCACAGTTTCTGGTCAGCAGTGTCAGCCCAGCACAAAAGGACCCTCCCTGTTCAGGTGTGACAGTCTTTTTGGTTGGGTAAACCAGT